ATTGTTGCAATCTGTTTTGCTAGCAGTTGTTACTGCCGGGATCTTGTGCAAGGCATGACTCGCTACGGGATGGATAATTGATGCGGCACCCGCACAGAAGCTGTCATTTGTGTTATAAAATGATTAATTGATCTGACACTTTTGCCGAACATGCTTCAGCAGCAAGCATGGTTGTGTAACTAACTGCAGGTGGCACATGTCAAACGCCAAATTAATGGGCTTAAATATTGTTTTTTTTTTAAAAAAATTGGTGTAACTTTATTTGCGCGCCTTGTAGTCGATAGAAAAGACCAATTATGAGTGAATTCATGCCTTTTATGTTACGAGATTTGTGACGTGTCGTTTTGCTGAACTAGTTGTTACTAAATAACACGAATTTGTTCATGTAACATTGCTCACAACAAGTAGAGATTTGAGGCGAACATTGCAATATCAATCTCATTGGAGTAAAATTGTTGCAGTCAATTTTGCAAATGTCTTCGGTGCAGTTATTACCACAGGAATCCAATAAATTCTACCCAAGTAGAGACCTTCAGCTGCCATAAATATGAATGGATGTCACCGGTTAGAATAAATACCAGCGTGGAATTGTTAAAAGCGTCGAATTCCGATAAATCAGAGACTTGTGTGACAGCCTAATTTGTGCTCATTTGCGGTGATATTGCTATAAAAAGGTACCTGTGCTCGTGGTTCTACTGTGCTGTAAATAACTGAAGCAGAGCCAGTGATTATAAAAGAAAGTAGGGCATGCCTTGACAGCCACCTTTAGTTAAACCTTTGCTGAAATCATGCTTCCTCGTCTCACACTTTCGGAATTAGGCTGTAATAGCTACCACAAATCCCTCACAAGTGGGTTGTCGAAAAAAATAAGGAAAGCGATTCAACGACAACGTCGCGGGCATCTCCTCTTCAGGCTAAAGTGGCTAAGTCTGGCATGCATGTTGGCGAAGTTAGTGGCTTTTGGATGCGACGGTAGTGAGTGTCGCTGGTGGTAATGAGGTGAGAATCTAGGTCACGTTCACAAAGCGGATTACGCAGGTCAAATTGGATCAACATGTACTACTATGGATCTGTAGTAGCTTGCTTTGGCACTACCTTACAACCCTCTAATTAACAGCCCGTAACAACGCGAGAAGTGTTGAACAAGGGGCGACATAGGACACGACCGGTTATTAGCATCACGCCAGCCAATTTTGTGTCTTAGTGTGTGGATGAGGGAGCGGAAGACACGTGTCTGATAACAGTAACCAATGAAAAGGGGATGAGTCACTGTCACCGTCAGTTCAGTAAACAGAGTTAGCTCAGGCACGATCGCTGTTAATCCGTTACAGTTCTGCCACAGATAAAGTGCATTGCGGACGTGGTACTGCAATTTTCGCTTTGCATAACTTCGTTTTGGTGTGATCGTTTTTCAAGTATTAACAGTTCATATTTGGAAGTAGGCTAAAGCACAGGTTTCGATGGTGGCATTTGACATGGTGGCTGATTACGAAAAATTGTTTCCTTCAATACATGAGCCATTCAGACTTGTTTTACCATGCATCCTAATTGACATGTCAGCGATATTTTAGTGGTACTGCTTATAGCTGAGCTATCACAAGCCAAGCACTTTAAAAGCACCTGCAAATTGCTAACCTGTGTGCCTTGAACGTGGGAGTCCCATGAGCGTGATGCCACCTAGCAAATCAAACTGCACAAATTACACTTAGAGCGTGTGGAGGCGATTAGAAAGACGAAGACATAAAGTAATTAGTAGAGGAACGATGTTGTGTTACTTCTCCCAGGTCATGCTACTTCTGTTTCGTTGCTTTGGTGAACTGAGGTCGAGAGCTCCCGATATTTTTTTGATTCGTGACCAATTGACCAATTAGGCTGCAATTTCACTCGAAGATTTTTCCAAGTCATACGTTACTCATGCTTCTTTAATGATATTTTAAAGTGTCCAAAAAGGTTGTCATTTTGGCTGGTATTCATTCGCCAGCTAAATCATGCGACCCCAATCTGATTTCAGCTTGTAAATTTGCTCCGTTGCGTCGGACAATTGGGACGGAAAGGGTTAATGCATTAGCATGATTTGAAGCGAATATCGGAACTGAACGTGGACAATGCGCAAATGCACACTACGGCGTTGAACGGCTACTGACAATGCATTTCTTTGTGCCAACAACTGCAACGTGCACCTGTAGAATATAAATGAATTTACCAGTGAAATTTCGACGAATAATGTGGTCAGGATAACACACCATGCACGCGACCTTTCTTACTAGTGGTACAACTAACCATGTTCCAGCATAAACACCCACATCCAGCAGATAACATTAGGATGTGATAAACAGCTCTGTCGAGTGTTGCTTTGATGAACACGTGGTTTATGTGACACGTTGAGATATCCAGCAGTTTATTTGTGTCAGACAAATTAGCGCGAATTAAAATGGCATGAAGTAAAGTGCGAACGGACCGCATTGTGTCATGCATAGGGTGGTTGTGCAAACGGGAATGATCGATCAATACTAGGTGGATATGCGGACACATCTACATTTCTGGAATCTTTAAAGAAGTGAAGAAGAACCCCATTGACTAACAAAATAAGTTCATTTTGTTATCACGATAAGATAACCTGGTCATCTGGACCATGGCTAACCCACTGTATCTTGCCTATAATGCGGGATAATAAGACAGGCGTCAAAATGATTTCAGCATTTAATGCACAGCGCATAAATGAAAACAGGCGATTAAGTGAATGCAACATGTACAGAGCATTCGCAGAATGATCGATAAGGGATATCAACCACTTTTAGATCGTCACGAATGAAAGTCTCACGCTGCAAGCGGTAGAGCATTTGTTTGTCAGTCTTGGTGCAGAACAGCATCTGTTGAAGGTGCTCGGTCATGAACATACCATCGGGGTCAGCGCGTGACATCTGAAAGCGTATTGGACCAGTTCGTGGAGCAGTCGTTCGGTGGATGTGATCCATCAGCTTCTAAAGTAAGCAACAGTAAGCAGATCATAAAGGGGCTTGCCTCAATTTTCTTGACTTTGTTTCAACTCTATGAAGGCCGCGGGTTATACCAAAGGCTCTAACGTGTTTGAGCAAGGTGGTGGCAGGTGAGGAAATCGATTTATGGTGTCGGGAGGAAGAAGGTGAAAAAATATTGCAATCATTGTCGATAAATGTAATTGCAAAATGGGCTAGTTATTAGGGCGTTATCGATTATTAGACATTGCAAAATATGGTGACATTTTGCTCGCAATTCATATAGATTAAAATTAGTTCCAAAATAGTTAATTTGTTTGAAATTAATCGGCAGGGTTTTGAATAAAGAACGGCGGACGCAGAGGTGTGTGCCTACAACTAATTTTAGATTCGGTCGAATAAATTCGGTGGATTATTTATGTGGGCCGAATCTGACTGCTCTACTTCACAGCGTAAAAATGGTATCTTCAGTGTGATTGGTGTGCTGTTGAGCAACTAAGACTACACGACTAGTGTATAATTCACTGGCGTCGTAGCTGCCTCAAAAAGCAGCGGAGGAAGTGTGCGTTTTCGTAAGCCTGCAGATGTTATCCAGGATTTAAATGACGGAAATGCAGCCAGTGAGATGAAAGGGGCAGTGATATGGGAGTGAAATTGCATGCGCACTATGAATTCCCCAATGTCTCGCAATGCCGACCTAAACTGGCATCGCGTGCTAGACAGGAAAACAACGCCGCAGCTTC